AGGTTTATAAATATTTACCCATTTATATTCACCTAGTTTGTTTATTTTTATTTTAATTATTTTGCCAGTCCTGGAGCTTGAACTCAGGGCCTGAGCACTGTCCCTAACCTTCTCTTTGCTCAAGGCCAGCGCTCTACTACTTGACTCACAGCACCACTTCCAGCTTTTTCTTTTTATGTAGAACTGAGGAATTGAACCCAGGGCTTCATGCATGCTAGGCAAGCACTCTACCACTAAGCCACATTCCCAGCCCCAAATTTGTTTATTTTTAACTGTTATATCCAGACTCTTTATGAAAACTGGAATATTAGACAAGTATGGTCATTGTCTTATTTCCTCCTCAAACAATATCTATAAACATTAAAAATGTTCTATTTGATATGCAGGCTTGTAATGGACACTGTATTGCACTCCATTTGCATATTTGTTTTTATGTCAGACTTATACTTCCGTGATCTTAAATATCTAAGATAGATTAAGTTATATGTTTGCAACATATTTCATGTTGACAACTTGGGAGATATTTTTGCTTTCATTAAATCAACAACATTATATTAGTCTTATTTGTCAAAGAGTTACACTAAGATCATTTTGTTCTTAGGCTGGATTTATAGTTTTATGACCTACATGTCAAACTCTGACATTAAAAAAAAATCCAGCAGAGACAAATATAACCTTAATCTGGCCACAGCACCCAGGCACAAATATATGCTAACAAGTGTGAAGACATTGTCATTTTTAGTAACAACTTATTTTTGAAAATTTTATTTGTCATGGAAGAATTTGGATTAATTCAATGGTGTTAGTTTATCTGATTTCTCACTTATCTAAAAGCCAATTTGAATGGCATTAGTGAATTTTAACTTGTAGACAAAACATATAACTTACACACATAGATAACACACATAGCTTTTATTTTAGAATTTTAGTTATGAGACAGTAATACAATATAATATAAATTTATCAGTTTATAAAAAGGCAGTTGATCCAAATGGAATAAGTTGGCTAAACCTGAAAGGGTTTTTTTTGTTTGTTTTGTTTTTTTAAAGATAAAGTCTGAGCTGGGTGCCAGTGGCTCATGCCTACAATCCTACTCAGGAAGCTAAGACCTGAGGATCAGTTCAAAGCAGCTCAGGCAGAAAAGTCTATGAGACTGTTAATCATCAATTAAACACCCCAAAACCAGAAGTAGAGCTGTTGCTCAAGTGGTAGAGTGCTAGCCTTGAGCAAAAAAGCTCAAGGACAGCATGCAGGCCCTGGGTTCAAGCCCCAGGAGAGTTACACAAAAAAAGTCTGATTGTGTAGCACAGGCCAACCTGGAATCCAGCATCCTCCAATCTCAGCCTCCTGAGTGCTAGAATTACAGAAGGGTCATTGTTACAAGTTGCATGTGATTTCTCTTCCTCAGTCCTTGTCTGTCACTCTTCTGTTCTTTGCATTGTCTGCAACTTTTTTTCCCACTTAGTTCACTGACAATTTAAAAACATTTATTGTCTATAATATGCCTAGCACTGTGTCAAACAATTTGGGACATAATTAAGAAGCAGGAAATGGTTTCTGCCCTCCAGAATTTTTAATCTAGTTGAAGAGATAAGACATTCACAGAATAATTAGAAAATAAGTAGGGGGTCTATATAATTTACTTCTCCTGAATTATCAGTTGGTAGGATGTTGGTTTTTCTTTTCTTTTTTTGCTGGTCCTCGGGTTTGAACTCAGGGCTTGGGCACTGTCCCTGAGTTTCTTTCTTTTTTTTTTTCTCAAGGTTAGCACTCTACCACTTGAGTCACAGCACCGCTTCTCGCTTTTTCTGTGTATGTGGTACTAAGGAATTGAACCCAGGGCTTCATGCGTGCTCAGCAAGCATTCTACACTAAGTCACATTCTGAGCCCCTGGTTTTTCTTTTTATCTACAACTTTATCCCTAATTTTTAGGATGGTGTAGGAGGAACAAGATAGGCCCTTAATAAATGAATTTCATTTTTGGAGTTTCACCCGTTAAGGGCTAGCTCTCTTATTCATCCTGAAAAATGATCTGTGTTCTGCAAAGTGGCTGCTAGCACGCCTGCCTGGGAGAAGCTTGGGGCTGCCTAGCTGGCTCAGGTTACCACCTAATGGTAAGCTCTCAGGCAGAGCACACATCTCTCAGCAAGTGCCCCAGTGTCTTTCTAAAATAACTTCTTACATAAGTAGAGCCTTAAATTCCACCAGGCAAACTCCAGGAGAGGAGGAGTATGAGAGAAGAAGGAACACATGGGCTAGACAAAGGCAGAAATGCCCCCAGGAGCCTCCACAGATAGCCAGGAAATGGCTCCGAGAATTTGGATTCCAGGGGAAAGCTTGTTGTGCCCAAGTAAAGAGTAATCTATGGGGCTGGGAATGTGCCTTACTGGTACAGTTCTTGCCCAGCATTCATGAAGCCCTGGGTTCGATTCCTCAGTACCACATAAAAAGAAAGTGCTGGAAGTGGCTCTGTGGCTCAAGTGGTAAGCTAGCCTTGAGCAAAAGAAGCTCAGGGACATTGTCTAGGTCCTGAGTTCAATCCCCAGAACTGGCCACAAAAAAAAAAAAGTCATTTATGGAGCTAAAAATAAAAACAAACCCACAGGGGCTGGGAAGGTGGCTCAGTGGTAGAGCACTTGCCTTGCATGCATGAAGCCCTGGGTTCAATTCCTCAGCACCACATAAGCAAAAAAAAGCCAGAAATGGCGCTGTGGCTTAAGTGGTAGAGTGCTAACCTTGAGCTGAAAAGCCCAGAGAGAGCGCCTAGGCCCAGAGTTCAGGCCCCACAACCAACCAAAACAAAAAAAACCATAGTAATTTTTTTTTATTCCAATAATGGTAGAAAATTTGAAAAATCACAGTACCAAAAAAGTAAATTTGTCTATAATAGTGCTTTTTGCCACTGTTCACATTATGATTGTGATTTATTTATTTTGTCAGTTGTGGGGCCTGAACTCTGGACATGGGTACTGTCCCTCAGCTCTTCAGCTCAAGGTTAGCACTCTACCACTTGAGCCACAGCACCACTTCTGACTTTTTTTTGCTTAGGTGGTACTGAGGAATGGAACCCAGGGCCTCATGCATGCAAGGCAAGCACTCTACCACTGAGCCACCTTCCCAGCCCCTGTTTCTATTTATTTTTAAGATAAAGTCTCCCTATGAAGCACAAATTACTCTCAAACTCTCCTTCCTCCTGCCTCAGCCTCCTGAGTGTTGGTGTGAAAGAAAAGCCCCACTCCTAGCTTCTTAGTTAGTACCAGTCCTTGGGCTTGAACTCAGAGCTTAGATGCTATCTTTGAGCTTTTGTGCTCAAAGATAGCATCTACTCTTGAATGTAACTACTCTACTACTTGAATGTAACTTTACTTGTGGCTTTTTTGGTGCTTAATTGGAGATAAGAGTCTCATAGACTTTCCTTGGCTGGCTTTGAACCATAATCCTCAGATCTCAGCCTCCTGAGTAGCTATGATTATAGGCATGAGCCATAGGTGCCCAACTTACTTTAGATTTTTATGTATCTATCGGCCATTTCTCCATAAAAACAGATATTCTTATTTAGTTCTCCCTTCTTAGAAGGTGTTAAACTTTTTCACTCAACAACCTATCTTTGGTATCTTTCCACATTAGTATATAAGGTGCTAGTCTGTCCCTTTTAAAGCTATTATTATATTATGTGAATGTCCTGTCCTTTCTTTACAAATTTTTCTGGACAATAAATTAAGTGGTATTTTATTCTGTAATATGAGTGATCATCTCTTATTTGTTTCTTTGGGTTGTGTTGGGAATTGAACCCAAATAAATCTCTTCTCTATAACTTTACTGGCTTTTATTTTACAGAAGTGCTTTAGTTTAATTTATACTGGAACAATCTCTGATCCTCTTCAAAAGCTCTTGTGTAACAACTGTGAAAGAGAAGGGATGTGGGGAGCCACTGTATTTTATTATCTGTGGATTCTTTTGAGGTTTGTTTTTTTTAATCAAGCCTCTTAACACTAAGTGTTTTTCTTTCCCTCTAATTCAGTAACTATAAATACTTGGTTGCTGGGTCAACTTCTCCCTTCTCTTCCTTTCCCTTCCCTCCCTTTCCTTCATTTCTTTCTTTAATTGAGGACTTTAAGCTCTTATTAGGCTTTTCCACTCAAGGCTGGCACTCTACCACTTGAGCCACACCTCTACTTTTAGCTTTTTGCTGGTTAACTGGAGATAAGAGTTCCACAGACTTTCTGGCCTAGGCTGATTTTTGAACCACAATCCTCAGATCTCAGCCTCCTAAGTTGCTAGGATTAAGGTGTGAGCCCCTACTGCCCAGTTTGCAGGTTAATTTCATAGCTGCTATGAGAATCAATTATTAAATGTTTTAGAAGTTCTAAGATAAGTTTTGGAGGGAGTGTTGGGGTTAAAACCAGAGTTTTGTGATGCTAAGTAAGTCCTCCACCACTGAGTTACATTCCTAGTGCTTAAGATGAAATAAATGAGAGTTACATAACTGAGCCAATGACTTCAAAACAAAAACACATACCACATGACTTACTTCATATTTGATCTTGTCTTTCTCATGCAGCTTTGTTTTGCTTTTCTTGGAATTTTTTTTATAGTTTCTTTTCCCTTACTGAAAACAAGGCATGAAGCTAACAGTAGGTTAAAATGCTAAAGTGGAATCTCAGGCTTTCTATCTTAGGGCTTAGGATCCCTAAAGCTCAGGCTCCCAAATATCAGCATCTCACATACCCAATTCTCACATATCCCTCATCCCTCCAGTGACGTCAGACCCTCCCTACTCCTCCAGACATTATGGCTGTCAACATTCTCGCTCCATGTGTGGCCAGTTTTTTTTTTTTTTTCAGTAACCTTCTTCACAACCACTGGCCATCCTATGTCCTCTTGTACAATGCTCTTTTACACAGCCCCTTGTTCTGATGTGGTCATCTGAGGTATCCTTACCCCATCTCATCTGCCTACCTAGTTGGGCCTGCTGTTCAGCTTTCACTGTCTCCCACAGGTGCTGAACAAGGCCAAATATGGTCCAATATGGATAAACTCTGTGGGGCCTCACAGCTTCGTGAACCTGGCCAGTGCCTCACTCATAGAACAAGCAATGCGGCAGGAGGACAAGCATCCTATAAGAGACTACATGGATCTATGGAAGGAGCACCGGGATGTTCAAGGCCTGGCCTATGGGGTCTTCACCACGTGAGCTGGGGCCTGAAGGGACTGGAATAGGGCCTCAGAGAACCAGGTCAAAAGAGAGCAGGCCTGGGGCACCCGAGCCCCACCTCCGAGCTTGCTGCCCAGTCTAGAAGCCAATTAAGTTGGCTGAAACGCTAGGACCATTCATAGGTTTTTCCATATTGTGTGACTTCGGACCAAGGAACAATTCCTCACTTCTTGGATTTATGTTTCTGATTTGTAAAATAGGAGGTTTAGGATTAGAAAATCTCCAAAGTGGGCTGGGAAGATGGCTCAGTGGTAGAGTGCTTGCCTTGCATGCCTGAGGCCCTGGGTTCGATTCCTTAGCACCACATAGCAAAAAGAAAAAAAGCTGGAGGTGGCGCTGTGGCTCAACTGGTAGAGCGATAGCCTTGAGCTGAAGAGTTGAGGGACAGCGCCCAGGCCCAGAGTTCAGGCCCCACTACTGGACCCAAAAAAAAAAAAAAAAAGAAAATCTCCAAGGTATCCTTAAAGTCTACACAGATCCATCTTACATTATGGTTGAAAAGATGTCAATTTGTAGCTAAGAAAGTATCATTATCATCTTATTCAGGAGGGCTCTGTTTAAATGTTTCAAAAATATACCAATAGCCAGGTGCTCGTGGCTCATGCCTATAATCCTAACTATTCAAAAAGTTGCGATCTGAAGATCATGATTCAAAGCCAACCAAGGCAAGAAAGTCTGTGAGACTCTTATCTACAGTTAACCACCAAAAAGACAAAGTAGAGCTGTGGCTCAAGTGGCAGAGCACTAGCCTTGAGCAAAAAAGCTGAGGGAGAGTGTCCAGACCCCACGACTGGCCCCCCAAAATAAAATAAAATTTGTCCAGATTGTTTTATATTGTGTACAACTGGCAATAACTCACAGATGCCATCTACCCACAGAGATAGACATGGGTTCCAGTGATGCCTAGAAAAGTTAAGGTTATTTCAACAGTGACAAATTGAAGAATCAATTGAATGTGTTATTTGAAGTAGATAGTAAGAATTAGTGAAGTTAAACCAAGCTGGCACCAGTGGTTCACGCCTGTAATCCTAGCTACTCAGGAGGCTGAGATCTAAGGATCAAGGCTCAAAGCCAGCCTGGGCAGGAAAGTCTGTGTGACTCTTATCTCCAATAAACCACCAGAAAACCAGAAGTGGCGCTGTGGCTCAAGCGGTAGAGCTTTCGCCTTGAGCTGAAGAGCTGAGGGACAGCGTCCAGGCCCAGAGTTCAAGCCCCAGGACCGACCAAAAAAAAAAAAAAAATGAAGTTAAACCATCCCCAATGCCAATGTTTGTAATTGGTTATGTCACTGACTTCTGTTTGCCATAGAATGTTAGAATTCCAGAAACAATGAATGGCTTTAATCTTCATGATCAAGGTCGTTAACAATCCTGTTTGAGTGACTTCTTAAGGAATTAAGCCGGTCACCTGGTGGCTCACTTCTGTAATCCTAGCTACTCCGGAGGCTGAGATCGGAGGAAACTCCATGAGACTCTTATCTCCAATAAACCGCTAGAAAACCGGAATTGGCGCTGTGGCTCAAGCAGTAGAGCACTTGCCTTGAGCTGAAGAGCTGAGGGACAGCACCGAAGCCCCAGAGTTCAAGCCCCATGGACTAGTAGTCATTGCTGCCACCATGATAACTATGTATTTATAACATGCAGGCATCAGACTAGTCTCTTTGTGATCATTATCTTACTTTTTCCTCAAAACAAGCCTGTGACTGGATATTATTATACCCTGTGTGTGTGTGGTGTGTGTGTGTGTGTGTGTGTGTGTGTGGATGTGTGGATGTGTGTGTGCACAACATGCATGTATGCAGGTAACTAGGGCTTGATTTCAGGGCCTCCTTGCTTTCATTCAGCTTTTTCATGCATGGCTGATGCACTACCACTTGAACTACACCTCTACTTCTGGCTTTTTGCTGGTTATTGAGATATAAGAATCTATTGGCTCTGTCTGCTCAATCTGGTTCTGAACCAAGAGTCTCAGATCTCAGCTTCCTGAGTAGCTATGATTACAGATGTGAGCCACCAATACCTGGCACTAGTCCTGGTTTTTGTTTTTTGTTTTTTTTTTTGCTTGTTTGTTTGCTTATGTGGTGCTGAGGAATTGAACCCAGGACTTCATGCATGAGAGGCAAGCACTCTACCACTGAGCCACCTTCCCAGCCCTCCTGTTTTGTTTCTTTTCCTGGTGATTTTTGAGACAAATCTTGTTTCTCAGGGTCCATCTATCTTTAGAGTATCTGTGCCTGCTAAGACCACAGACTCATACCACCATACCCAGCCTCACACTGGAAATGGGATTTTGAAGACTTTTTTGCCAGGCTGGCCTCAAACCATGATCCTCCTAATGTCACCTAGCTTTGGTTTTCTTGGGACAGGGCTGGCCTTGAATTTGAAATTATCCTACTTCTTCCTCTTGAGTTGTAGGAATGCCAGTGTGTACATCCATGTGTAACTGGTGTGTGTGTGTGTGTGTGTGTGTGTGTGTGTGTGTGTGTGTGTGATGAGGCTTTAATTCTGGGTCTGGGCACTGTCCCTGAGCTTTTCAGCTCAAGGTTAGCACTCTACTGCTTGAGTCATAGCACCTCTTCCAGTTTTCTGGTGGTTAATTGGAAATAATAGTCTCACAGTCTTTCTTGCCTGGGCTGGTTTTGAACTGATCTTCAGATCTCTGCCTCCTGAGTAGCATTATAGGTGTGAGCCACTGGTGCTTGGATCTAATTGATTTGATTCTAGGAAATCTCGGTCTAGGTGCCTCTTAACAACCTCCACTGGGCTGTATGTGATTCCGAAATCTTCTGGTGCTTAGTTTAAGTCACTTGTAAAGCTCAATGATTGTCTAGGAATTTGGCTTAGTGCTAGAGTGCTTGCCTAGCATGCATGAAGTCTTGGGTTTGATTCCTCAGTACCACTACACGGAAAAAGCTGCAGTGGTGCTGTGGCAAGTGGCAGAGTGCTAGCTTTGAGCAAAAAAGAAGCTCAGAGATAGTGCCCAGGCCCTGAGTTCAAGCCCCAGGCAGGACTGGCAAAAACAAAAACAAAACAAAACAAAAAAAGCTCAATGATGGTATGATTCTAAATACTAAGAGTCTAGGAGTCTGAGAGTTCCCTCAACTGGGATGGGAGTGAGGGATCAGCATGGGAAGAAACCACTTAATCATGCTCTCAGAAGCTTATTTATTGTATCACCTTTTATGCTGCTCAGAAATGGAGAAAGCTGGTACCACCTGCGCCAGGTTCTGAACCAGCGGCTATTGAAGCCAGCGGAGGCCGCACTTTATACAGATGTTGTAAATGAGGTGATCGATGACTTTACAGCTCGACTGGACCAGATACGGGCAGAGAGTCCCTCCAGGGATCTAGTACCTGACATGGCTCAACTCTTCTACCACTTTGCCTTGGAAGGTACCCTTGCTCGGGATGGGAATGGGACAGGAATGGGTCATGGCTAGGCTGTGTCTACCTCCTCCAGGCCTTTGAATTCTGTGTCCCTTGGCTCTGCCTCCCCTCATGTCCTCTGCACTTTCCAGCCATTTGCTACATCTTGTTCGAAAAACGGATTGGCTGCCTGGAGCCATCCATTCCTGCCGACACTGCGAATTTCATTAGATCTGTTGGGATCATGTTCCAGAACTCAGTCTATTGCACCTATCTTCCCAAGTGGACTCGTCCCCTACTGCCTTTCTGGAGACGATATCTGGATGGCTGGAACACCATCTTCTCCTTTGGTGAGGAGTCCCCACTGGCCCCAAGGAAGGAAACGGGCCTCTCCCAGGACCGGCTCCCGCCTGCTACCAGCTCTCTGAGTACCTTGACGTCATTGTCCCTGCAGGGAAGAAGTTCATTGATGAGAAAGTTCAGGAGATAGAAGCTGAACTACAGGCAAGCAGGCCAGATGGGGTCCAGGTGTCTGGCTGCCTACACTTCCTGCTGACCAAGGGTCTGCTCAATCCTCAGGAGGCCCTAGGCAGCCTGCCTGAGCTGCTCCTCGCTGGGGTTGACACGGTGTGTGAAGGGTGCCGGTGAAGAGACCAAGGGCTTCTAGCTCCTGTCCTGAACCCATGTCTTTTCCCTCCTGAACCTGACCTTCATATCTTACCATAGCTGCTTATCTACCTGTAGCTGGAGAGGCAGAGCTGGCCCTATTAACTCCCAAGATCCCCTTGTTCTCTCTCACAGCTGGGACATTTCATCCTCAAGGTATTCAACTCTCTCTTGCCTAAATGTAAATGAAGGGTTGGAAGTTTGTCCTTGAGTAAGTTCTGATTTGATGGCACTGATTTTCAGCCTTTTTTTTTTTCGGTCGGCCCTAGAACTTGAACTCAGGGCCTGGGCTCTGTCCCTGAGCCTCTTTGTGCTCAAGGTTAGTGCTCTACCTATTAAGCCACAGCACCACTTCTGGCTTTGTCTGAGTAGTTTATTGGAGATAAGAATCTCACAGATTTTCCTACCTGGGCTGGCTTCAAACTGTGATATTTTTTGGTATGAGATTTCTCCTTGTTACAATCTCCTTGATTAGGTTTTTTTTTTTTTCCTTTTTGGGAATTTTAGATAATACTATTATTACTATTGCCATTCACCAAAGCAGTTTATTAATACAGGGCCTCTGGATCAGTGTCACCCTTTTCAACATTCTCCCCCACCCTCTCCCTACTCACCCCTGCCCTTACTTAATTTTTTTTTTTTGCCTTTAACAAAGCAGTTTATGTGTACAATGCATCTTGATCTGTGTCACCACTCCAACGTCTTCACCCCCTTTTTTTGGGGGGGGTCTGGTCTTGAGGCCTGAACTCTGGGCTTGGGCGCTGTCCCTCAGTTCTTCAGCTCAAGGCTAGCGCTCTACCACTTGAGCCACAGCGCCACTTCCGGCTTTTTTCTTTTTGCTTATGTGGTGCTGAGGAATCGAACTCAGGGCCTCAGGTATGCAAGGCAAGCACTCTACCACTGAGCCACCTTCCCAGCCCTCTTCACCCCCTTTGACCCACCCTTTCCCTTATGTTTCTCAGTTCTGGGGTATATACAGTGAACTCTTGCCTGCATTCTCCCCGCCTCTGCCCTCCATTCTTCTACCCCTCTCCCCTTAGCCCCACCCTACCCTGTTGCAAGTTCCCATTTCCTGATGCTTATTTTGTTAGGCTCTGACTTAGTCTTATTAAAGAATTACATTGTTTGTGCTCCTGTTAAAAGTGCAATTCTCCGGTCAGTCCTCAGCCCACTCTGGATTCATGGTGGTCCCTATGGTCCCTCCTCCCTTTCCTACCATCTTTGTGGAAAATGCATCTCTCCCATATTTTGCAAGCACCAGTCGTATCACTTGCGTCACTTAGCTAGCCTCTTGCCTAGAAGTCTGCCTTCACTCCATTTCCCCTTCTGTCTCCTAGTCATCCAACACGCTGACGTGGGCCTTGTACCACCTTTCAAAGAACCCAGAGATCCAGGCGGAGTTGTACAAGGAGGTGGCAGGGTTGGTGCCCGCTGGGAAGACACCCCAGCGCAAGGACATTGCCCACATGCCCTTGCTCAAGGCTGTGATTAAGGAGACCCTGCGGTAGGGTGAAATTCCTGAAGCCCAGTGTCTTTGTGTGGTGGCGGGTGGGGGTTAATTAGAGGAATGAAAAAATGGGGACTTCCTATGGGTTGGGGATGGGAACCAAAGAGAGCTGGGAAGAGGGGCCAGCTAGGTAAGAGAAAAGTAGAGGACATCCTGCGCCCTTGGAGCTAGAGGCAGACCATAGACTTTCTTTTCCCTGTAGGCTCTACCCTGTGATCCCCACAAATGCTCGGATCGTGATGGACAACGAAATTGAAATTGATGGCTTCATCTTCCCCAAGAATGTGAGTTGGGGCTACGGAGCCCTAGTGCCCAGCAGTGCCACAGCCCTTTGCTAACGGATTTATGCTGCACCTTCTTCCACTGTAGACCCAGTTTGTGTTCTGTCACTATGTGGTATCCCGAGACCCCAGTGTCTTCTCTGAGCCTGAGAGCTTCCGCCCTCACCGCTGGCTGAGGAAGTGTGAGTCTAATGCGCCCAGTGTCCAACATCCATTTGGCTCTGTGCCCTTTGGCTATGGTGTCCGGGCCTGTCTGGGCCGCAGGATTGCAGAGCTGGAGATGCAGCTGATGTTGTCAAGGGTGAGTGGAGACGGGTGGAAAGATGTGTGAATCAGGAAGGGTGAGGGGTCAGTGGGAGAGGCAGGGAAGTTTAGGGATGGAAGATTCAGAGGCCGGCAGTGAATGATTACCAAAGAATGCTCCTGTGCTCTTTCCTGATACAGCTGATACAGCGATACGAGGTGGTCCTACCTCCTGAGACTGGGGAGGTGAAGAGTGTAGCCCGCATTGTCCTGGTTCCCAATAAGAAGGTGGGCCTACGCTTCCTGCAGAGACAGAGCTGAGAGCTGAGAGCCTTGTCCCAGAAGCCCCAGCTCTGGCACAGCTGCCAGACTTGACAGACTGGAGAAACTTAAATTCTCTTCTCACAGAACTCTTTGGTTTTATGGGCTCAACCATTTGCGCACGCAGCTCCTGCTTAGATAAAAGGTTATCTCTTATTCCATCTCTGTCCTCAGTATAATATAAAATAAGAAGATGTCTAGTAATCATGAAGGGGGTCATTAATCATTGGTTTTCTTTTTGATCACTCAACATCTGTATTCTTTTCTGAGTTTGAGGAACACATTTCTGCACCTAGCAATCATGATGAAAGACCTTGCTGTATCCCTCCGTGGAGTCTTAAGAATACCATGTATGGGCTGGGAAGGTGGCTCAGTGGTAGAGCGCTTGCCTTGCATGCATGAGGCCCTGGGTTTGATTCCTCAGCACCACATAAGTAGAAAAAGTCAGAAGTGGCGCTGTGGCTCAAGTGGTAGAGCGCTAGCCTTGAGCTGAAGAGTTGAGGGACAGTGCCCAGGCCCAGAGTTCAGGCCCCACAACCAAAAAAAAAAAAGAATACCATATATTTCCCTCAACTTGTGAAGAGGAGTTTGGGGTCCTACTGGGGCAGCAGTGGCACTGTGCACATAGGGGGCCCCCACAATAGTGTTGCTTCAGTTGTAGATATTAGAAGGACCCAGCTGTGCCTGGGTATGTACACTTGTAGTCCCAGCTATTTGGGAGACTGAGACAAGGGGATCACTGGAACCTAAGAGTGCAAGACCAGCCTGGGTATCATAGGGAAATCCCATCTATGAACAAATGAATAAATGAGTGAACAAGGAAGTGAATGCATGAATGAGTAAAGAAAACACAGACTTTAAAAAGTAGAAACAATCATCTTTTGAGAAAAAGCACAGAGAGAAGCATTAGGGTGCTACCAAATGCATTAGAAGTGTAAGGTCCACCCTGGGAAGGCAGGGCAGACTCCTCCCTCCTCTTGGCTAAGTTTTTGCCCCGTACCTCTGTCGCCTAGGTAACTGGCACCGCTGGAAGCAGTCAACTCCCCTCCCCCCCCCTTCAAGGTCACATCCTGGGCTGCCCCCAGTCAGCCTCCCACTGGACTGTGGGAGGGTCCCAGGCCCTGAGGTCACATCTGCATCTAGTGTGGCTACACCTTTCCCCCACCTGGCCATACCTTCTCCCTGACCCTGGCCTAGATATGTCCTGGCCTGGGGGTGGCTCACCCCTCTCAGCCAGGTGCTCCCCACCATGCACAGCTGGGCAGCGGAAATAAAACTTCTCTTACTGCCTGAATACCACACGGTTTTCTCTTCATCGGCTACCTAATTAAATCTACCTATTTATCTTACAAGAAGAAGTGTAGACTGAACTACAGTGGGTTCTAGTGGATGGACATTGGCCAGCTTAAGGAGTGGGTCTACCCTACTGGCTATGATCAGAGGAGTCAGGAAGTAGACATGGAAATTTTAGCTTTCCAGTCTTTTCAGTCCAGTAAGCCTACTCAGAAGGAAAGGGATTGGCCCTGGGCACTGGTGGCTCATACCTGTAATCCTAGCTACTCAGGAGGCTAAGATCTGAGGATCGTGGTTCAAAGCCAGCCTGGGCAGGAAAGTCTGAGAAACTCTTATCTTCAATAAACCACCAGAAAACCAGAAGTGGCGCTATGGCTCAAGTGGTAGAGCACTAGCCTTGAGCTGAAGTGCTGAGGGACAGTGCCCAGGTCCAGAGTTCAAACCCCATGACCAACAACAACAAACAAACAAAAAAAGGAAAAGGATTGGCTTTGAGACCCTGTGCACCATACCACAAGCCTGGAAATTCAGTGACACTCAGTCCTGGTTATAAAATTAACTTTCCAGAGTTATAGAAAACAATGCCTATAGGATTAGGGTTGAATCCATTTTAAAAAAATCAGCTTACACTAAGCAAAAGGAAAGAAATGTAAATTATCACCTGATGTGGAAGAAATAATTGTATTGTCAAAGCTCATAGAATTCACAAACTTTATAGACCATGATAATGACAAGTTGCCTTGTGAAGGTTAAAATGTGTTTATGACTTTAACTAAGTGTCACTATTCCTCAATACTGTGAGATATGTGAAATTTATGTAATCACCTAATCTCAATTTCAAAAAGGAAAAGAAAAGTTGCAGAAGGGATGGGTTAGGAGCAAAATAAATAAATAAATAAAATCCTGTCATTGTCCTGATTCAATGCGTCAAGTGGCTTCCCAAGTCATAAGCCAAATCCAAGTCCTTCCTATGGTTAATAAGACCTTCCACTCCCACTGGAAACTCTCTTCCCACAGCTGAGCCTGACCTTGCATCTCTCCAAGCACATTAAGCTACTTCAGTCTCAGCTTTGAGTTTATTAGCCCTTGTCCTGGCCTCACTGATTCCCCCTTTGTACCTCTGCCTTCCAGAGCAGAGCACATCCACTTTGTGGTGGACTATCTTCCTGGCAAGTGGTGAACTTCTTGGAAGGCAAAAATCTATCTCCTTCAGTTTGGACCTCAGTCTTACTGTCTGGCTACAAGGGGGTATTAAATAAACATTTCTTAAATAAGAAGAGACTGGAATAGCAAGAAGGAAGGGGAACAGGAAGGACATTGAGCTTTCCATATTGCAAAGAGGAATCTAGAGGGGACTGGGCAGAATTCCTGATGATAAAGGCATGGACCTTGAGCCCATCTAAGCACAGGTTCACCTAGGAAAGCTCTTTAAAAAGGCAGTAGATGGAGGCTGGACCTAGAAGGTGTCAAGATCCCTGTGACAAAGTCAAGCCAGAGCAACTGTTATCTTCTCCACTGTGCTGTTCCTCTAAAACCAGTAGGCCAGCTCGCAGTAGCCACAGGAACCCTCAGTGCTGGTGCTTGGGTGGGGGGGGGGGGGGGGGGACAGCTGTGTCATGTGACTTGGGATGTGACTTTTGTAGCAGCCATACAGGACAGTGTCAGTGTTCATGATCCACAAGCTCTGTTAATGAATATGGAAGTCTAATCTCAAACACAATCCATGAAGGTACAGCCATAGTGGAAAATAACAGGAGGCTCCTCAAAATATCAAAAACAGCTGGGCACTGGTGGCTCACGCCTGTAATCTTAGCTACTCAGTTTGATGAGACTGGAGATTGAAATTCAAAGCCAGCCCAGGCAGTAAAATCCATGAGACTCATCTCCAATTAGCCACCAGAAAACTGGAAGTGGTGCTGTGGCTCAAGTGGTAGAGTGTTTGCCTTGAACTGGAAAGCTCAAGGACAGTGCCTAGGCCCAGAATTCAAGCCCCATAACTGACAAAAAAAAGTCAAGAAGAACTACTATATGAGCTAAAATTCCATAATGTATACCCCAAATACATACTAGTTATATAATAAAAATAAAATAAAATAAAATCTGGACTCATGTTTATTTGCCACACTATTAACAATTGCCAAAGTATGACATCAATCTAAGTTTCCATCAAAAGAAGAATAAAGAAAATGTACATGGATTCAATTCAGCATTTATAAGGAAGTATGTCTTATCATTGGTGAAATGTGAAATAAGCCAGCCCCATGCAGTAAGACAAACATACCATGCAGTAAGACAAACATACCATGGTCCTACGGCTGATGATCTTAGAGATTGGGAGTACAACCGAGATTACCAGAGATTGGAGAAAGGATGAAATGATTGGGGAGATACTTGTCAAAGGCCACAGAAATTCAGACAGGAACAAGAAGTTCAAGAGATCTATTATATAGTTAATCATAACATACATTGTCAAGGGATTCAATTTCAAGTGTTCTCATCACACACAGAGAAATGATAAGCCGCTGATACCAGTGGCTTACCCCTGTAATCCTAGCTACTCAGGAGGCTGAAATCTGAGGATCGTGGTTTGAAGCTACTCAGGCAGAAAAGTCTGTGAGACATTTATCTCCAATAAACTTCTCAGAAAAAGCCTATAGCGGTGCTGTGGCTCAAGTAGCATAGTGCTAGCTTTGAGTAAAGGAAGTTCAGGGACAGTGCCTAGGCCTTGAGTTCTAACCCCAGGACCAGCAAAAGAAAGAAAGAAAGAAAGAAAGAAAGAAAGAAAGAAAGAAAGAAAGAAAGAAAGAAAGAAAGAAAGAAAGAAAAGAAAGAAAGAGATAAGCCTGCTTACATTAGATAGCTTGATTTAGCCATTGTGCCATAGATACATATATCAAAATATGTTGAGGGCTGGGAATGTGGCTTAGTGGTAGAGTGCTTGCCTAGCATGTATGAAGCCTTAGGTTCCATTCCTCAGTACCACATAAACAAAAGAGCTAGGAATGATGCTGTGGCTCAAGTGGTAGAGTTCTAGCCTTGAGCAAAAGAAGCTCAGTGCTCAGACCCTGAGTTCAAGCCCCAGGATTGGAAAAAAAAAAAATAGTGGTACATAGTGGTACATGCCTGTAAATCTGGTACTCCGGAGATTGAAGACCTCGTCTCAAAAACAGAGTTGTATACCATAGATACATATAATTTTGTCAATTAAAATATGTAGAATATAAGTTCATGTTCACAAAACCCCATGAAGATTGTGGATATTAATACAGTGGAATATTATTCCACTATACAAGAAAAGGAACGAAATACCGATTCATGCTACATTGTATAAAAACATTGAAAACACGATGCTAAGAGAAAGAAGCCAGACACAAAAGATGACATATTGTGTGGCTCTATCATGTAAAATGTCCCAAGAATAAAAAAATCTATATACAGAAAGGAGGTTTAGTAGTGGGTTAGCATATGTTGCCAAGAGTGTGTCATGGAGCAAAGCTACCCACTCACCTTAAGGTAGCCATGGGGGGTAGGAGGGGGAGAGAAAAGCTGGCTTTCACTTCATTATTGGTAGTACCAGGGTTTGAACTCAGAGCCTGCTAGACAGGTGCTCTACCTCTTGAGCCATACACCAAACCTTAGGTTCTACTTCTTAAGGTTTTTGTCTTTTCCCAATAGCATCAAGTTGGGAATTAGGCCTTTAACATATGGGCCTTTAGCAAACATTCCAGATGCAAGTACGCTGTAGCAAGACCAAAACACAAGCTATAAGAACTGAGGAGTTAATGACATAAAGGTGATATCTTGGCCACAGAGAGTGCTACAGAAAGCCCACAGATACAGCACTGGAGGAAATGAATCAGACTCCCCTGCTCAAGTGGGAAAAACAAAATTCCAACAAGGTCAAAGAGGCTTTCTCTATAAAGTACATTTGAAGTATATAATTTCAAGTACATACAAAGATACTTGAAGTATTTTTAACTTATGAAAGGTTTTTTATTGATATACAATAAACCTACAGAAAAAATGTTCCTACCATAAGCATGCAGGAATTTTTTTTTGCTTATCTTGGAGTTGAGTGTCCTCTGTGTTTATATTTCATCAAAGTGTCTGGATGAGATATCT